AGTGAATGTGCTCTGTAAATCTTCACCCAAATAAAAATTAATTAATTAATTAATTAAAAAAAAAAAAAAAAAAACTTTTCTCAAACCGCTTAATCTTTTGTGGTAGAACTGCAAATTCTTTGCTGGTTCTTCCATTTAGAGATAAAGAGTCTAATTTCCTGCCTCTTGGTCCTGGACTGGCTTTAATGACTTGACAAATAGTAGTGATATTTTGGGACTTCAGTGGCTAGGTCTTAAGAAGTCTTGTAGCTTCCACCTAAACCTCAGGGAACAATTGCTCATCAAGCTCTCAGCCATTTTGTAAGAAGTCCAGGCACTTTGAGAATACTCAGCTGGCATTTTGAGTAAGTTCAGGCTAGCCATGTAAAGACAAAGAAAGATATTTGGCCAGCCCACAGCTGTCTCAGCCACCACCCCTTTGATTCGTCCCAGCAGAGGTCCCATACATTATGGAATAAAGAGGAGCCATTCTCCTTCTGTGCCATGTTAGAATTCCTAACCCACAAAACATAAGACATAAATTGTTTTAATTTACTGGTGTAGTTTGTTACATAGCGGTAGACAACCAGAGTATCTGTATTTTAAAAATTTAAATGTTAAATGTATATTTATCATGTTATATTTTGGGACTGAAATATGATATATAATCCTTTACACAAAAAACATCCACTGCCATCAAGTCAATTCTGACTCAAAGTAACCCTATAGTATAGAGTAGAATTGCCCCATGGGGTATCTCAGGCTATAAATCTTTACAGAAGCCGACTGCCTCTTCTTTTTCCTGCAGAGTGGCTGGTGGATTCAAATTGCTGATCTTCTGGATAGCAGCCAAACACTTTAACCACTGTGCCACCAGAGCTCCTTTGTATGTAATCCTCTGTTGTTGTTGTTGTTGTTGTGTGCCGTCTAGGTTTTATTAATTCAGTGGATAATTAAAATTTAGAATATTCAAGATTCTGTTGTTTTAACTTGGTCATTCTTAAACCTGAGAAATATGCTACTATTTATAGTTATTTCATGGGATGTATTTAAGACTCAGATTAACTGAGAAAAAGTCATTTCAATTGAACTTTTAAAAAATATGTCATAGTGATATTGTCCCAATATGAATGTTAACTTGTATAATCTTTTTGGAGAACTTTAAGTAGGTATTTTAACTTAGCATTTTAACTTCTAGGAATTTTTAATAAAGAAATAATTTAAAATGTATACAATTATTTAGCTTTGTTGTTAGGTACTGTCAAGTTGGTTCCAACTCATAATGTCCCTATGTACAACAGAATGAAACAGTGCCTACTCCTGCACCATCCTCACTCACTCAAAAAAACCAAACTTACTGCCATTGAGTTGGCTCCGACTCATAGCAACCCCCAATGGGTTTCCAAGGCTGTAAATATTTACGGAAGCAGACAGCCTTATCTTTCTTCCATGGAGCAGCTGGTGGGTTACAAACCACTGACCTTTTGGTTAGCAGCTAATTGCCTGAACCACTACATCATTATTGGGGGTGAGGCAAAGAAGGAAGTGAAAGAAGAGTACGTATGAAGGAATTTACATTTTCTAAATAATTTTGGTACCATTTAAAAATTGTAGAATTTTTCTGATTCTATAAGAATAACCACTCAAATGTTATATATTTGAAACAATCATACATAAATACAAAATAATGAATTCTAGTAGATGAGTTAAACTTAACCTTAAATGATATCTAAATATATAATTCAGTATTTTCATATTTTCCAGAAATAGGAGATACTTACAAATTTTATCTTTTGTTTTATCTCTGGACTGACAGTTCCTCCAGGTCCAAGTTGGGCAATGACTGATTTAAACGTGTTTTCCAACTACCAAAAAAAAAAAAAAAAGTTCAAATCACAGTCCCCCTCCTAAAGAAAAAGTCAAAGGCAAAAATAAACAGTATATAAAAGAAACATCTATCAAAGGAACTGTGTTCTCATTAAAGAGATAAATATCATCCTTCAGAGAAGTAAGAAGGATTGTGACATTTCATACCATATGAAATACATTCAAAGTATATAGGATATTTATGAAACTAAATTTCTAAAATTTTCCAGAATGATTAACATTCTCTAGAATAATTACATTCTACAGTCCTCAATTACTCAATCCCATACCCTTATCCAGAAAGGATTGTTACTGATTTTCTGCTGTTTATCCAATTACTTTAGCAATGGGTATTAACGCAGGGAAGAGATGGGATGGTGGAAGGTCCCTGAAATGCAGCAATAAGTAGTGAGCCAAGGTACTAGTGAAATGGCCGGTCTTTGGAAGAAAAAGGAAAAGCCCTTCTGCTGTAATAAGAACAAAAGAAAAAAGAACCAATAGGGATATAGAAAGGCTTCATGGATGTGGAAGCAGGAGGGTGAGTTACTATGGCTCAGATACCATGGGGCAATTCAACTCTATACATCACTATGTGATGGCTTCAGTGTTCTCTGTGAGTTAAAAAGCAGTATTTTTTGTGATATAAGAGCAGAGGGAAAGAAAAGTGAGATCAGACATTTGAAAAGGTAGAAAAAAGTAGAAAAACAAAGTTGAGGAAATAGTAAGTTGAGGATGATAATCTAGGCTCAAAAAGTAGGAAGTGAAGTTTTAAGATAGCAGGGGCCTGGTGATTTTAGAAGAGAGAAGCCAATGGCATAGAGGTCCTAATAAGGTAAAATGATGATTCTACCCCTAGCTTTCACAGGCCTCAGCCCTGGGTCTTACATTCTTTACATTTCTTCTGTATCTACCATGAGACAATTCCCCAAAGCTCTCCAAGTGAATGACAGAAGAATCTAAAGATAACTCATTTTTCATATCCCAATGTATTCCTACCATTTAAAGATTCAATACAACCACTTATTGAACTCGCACTGTGCTAGGTGTTTTGAGGATTAAAAAAGGTTACTTATCAGTTTTCTCAAGGTGTTTATAATTAAGTAGGGAAATGAGATAAATACATAAATAGTTATAACCAAGCCTTACTGTAAGTGCCATTAAAGAAGTACAAAAGTCAGAAGAATAACTCACAGTAAGTTGTAAATATATAGCAGGCTTCCTCTTTTAAAAGGGCCTTGAAGGATGAGGAGAATTGTGCAGAAAGAGATGGTGGAGAGGGCACTGAAAGTAGAAGAAACTTCACGGACAAAGAGAAAAAAAATAAAGTAGTTTGCCTGATGGCATTAAAGAAGTGGTGGTAGAGAAAACTAGAAAGGTAGATTAACTCATATCATAAGCAGTTGCCATTAAGTAGATTCTGACTCATGGCAACCCATGTGTGCTCCACAGGGTTTTCAATGTCTGATTTTTTGTAAGCAGATAGCCAGGTCTTTGTTTCAGGGTGTCTCTTGGTGGACTCAAATCTCCAACCTTTCAGTTAGCAGCCAAGCGTTTTCACCATTTATACTACCAGGGTGTCAAACTCATATCATATAACATTTTAAATACCAAGCTAAGGAGTATTTCTTGGATGACAGATAGGGATTTTTAGCACGGGAGCAGCATTATCGGAACTGTAATATGGCAGTAGAAAATGAGATTGGAAGGGAGGGGTAGCCAGACAACCAGTTAGGAGACCACTGCAACACTCTGGGCAAGAGGTTTAACTAAAGAGCTGGCAGAGGGCTCCTAAAAGTGCACATATGGGGTAAATAAAGTAGATAAAATCCCTGCCTTCCTGGAACCTGCAGTTTACTGGAGTGAGACAGACGAAACAATCATAGAAATAAACATGTCATTATAATTATGATTAATGTTATGAAAAACCAGAGAATGATACGATACATAAAATGTATAAAGATGTTAGAAAAGCAATGGGAGATCTAACTTAGATCAGGGATTGGGGAGATGGGGAGGTCAGGGAAAGGGCCTCTGAAGAATGGTCCATTTATACTTAGTAAAGGGGCAATGGAAGAAACACACTCATACATACTTAATGTGCTAACTGAAACAACTTTTATGGAGGAACTAAATACATATACAACTATATATATGAAAAGCCATAAAAGTTTCCATTCTTTTGATGCACCAATTTCTTCTAAAAATTTACCCTCAGGAGTAATAGAGCTTTGTGCAAATCTGAGCAAAGTTTTCATCATAAGATTATTTTTTACAGCAAAAATTGGCAGCAGCCTAAACGCTCAACCTAGGGTAAAAATTAAATAAATTAAGACCCATCCATACTGCTAGTAAAAATTATTATTCAGAAGAATATTTTTAAACTGTGGGATGTTCATACATAATGCTTAACTGTGACAGAAAAAAAGCAGGTCACAAACTGAGAAGCACAATGATTCCATTCCTATTTAAAAAAAAAAAAAAAGCTAACTATTCTTGGTGACAAAAGCAGATTTTTAATTTTAGTCTTTGCTTTTCTCTATTTCAAATTTGTTGTACCCATCAATCTGTATTAGTTTTGTAATAAGAAAAAGCTGTTTTTAAAAACATAGACACCTGGTTGATCATTTAGAAACGCAAAGGAAAGCATTTTGGAAAGAAGATGGATAAAGCTTAAAAGCAAAAAGGAACAGAAGTTCCATCTTGGAAGAATATACTACAGAGCTTTTGGCCACACAGAAAACATTAATACATTCCTGATAAAAATCACAAAACTGGCACAGAGATACATGTGGTAGGGCAACTATTTAAATATTTGCTAGGTCTCTTAACTGACTAAAAACTAGGCAGTATGGAATTTGACTTGCCATACTAAAATCTTTATCTGAACTATTGGGAAAATGCCTAGAGAAGCAGCTACTCTAAGTTGGCCAGAGTTTGCAAATTCCAGATAATTACATTAATTAACCCACTGAATTGTTCCTTCTGACTGTAATTGTTTAACATATTCAGTTGCTTGCCGATGATATTTTTTGATAGATAGTTGAACCAAGTCATCCAGTGAAAGAAAAATGCTTCTCTTTCTATATGCAACACTAAGCATAGCATCTATTTCATGCAAGAATACTCAAATGTTTAAGTGCAAATTAAAAGCAGGTACAAACTAAGACCCAAAGTGATCTGAGACATTTAGGAGTAGAAAATTGTCTTTAAAAAGCTGAATGATGCTTTATTTATTTATTTATAAAACAAGTACTACTTAAAACTTTGTTAACAGTGGTATTCAAACCATTTTTCTGTTTTTGCCTTTAACCTAATTTGTATCTTCTGGAAAATAATAGAACATTTAAGTATGATAAAAAAAAAAAAAAAGAAAAAGCCAAAGCTTACCTACTTCACTATCTCATGGTGAATGTCACAAAGTTTTCTAATGCATAAGACAGGGAATAGAGAGAGGGTTATGATGGAGTACTTACTTTTACATAGTAGTAAGGCTAGATAGAGAGCTGAGAAATACCAACCAGATCCATGTTTCTTGAAGAATCACTCCTCTTAAAAGCAAACACCTGTGTCGTGGATTGAATTGTGTCCCCCCAAAATATGTGTAAACTTAGCTGAGGCCATGATTCTCAGTGGTTTGGCAGTTATGTAATGATGTAATTTGGCAGTTATGTAATGATGTAATTATCCCCCATGATGTAATCTTATGTAATCAGCTAATCAGTTGTCAAGAGCATCAGAGTGGGATGCAATACTCTTAATCAGTTCACAGCCCTGATCTGATATAAGATGTAAGGGAAGTTTCCCAAGCCTGTGGCCTGCATCACCTTTTATCTTAAAACACATAAAAGGCAGACAGTTACAGTAAGATGGCAGAATAGGCAGAAAGACTGCACAGACCCTCTTCAACAAAGAAAAGGGGAACCAATTAACACAGATACAGAAGGTAATCCTGGACCCCTGAACCTTGAAGGGAAGGGTATAGAAGAGGACTAAACTCTAACTAGCAGAAGAATTTGCATGAAAATACCAAAAAAGAAGACATACGGAGCTGCGGTCTGGCAGCGATCCTGACGGCACAGACAGCTTGGATATTGCCGAGTGGTGGTAGGACCTAAGAATTAACCTCAAAATCAGCCCTGCTAGCCAGGGACTGCACGGAGGACTGCTGTGGTAGCTGGTAAAAAAAAGGCGAAGCAGAGAAGAAGGCAGGCTGAGCTGTGGACTTTTGCCTGTGCAGAGGGTGCAGCCATTTTGAATGTTTACAAGCAGCTTGACCATTTTAGATATTTAAAGTGACAGTGTTCTCCCAGATTCTAGGGACTTAAAAACAGGCTCTGTTTGCTGGGAACCACAAAGACATTCCGGATGCTACAACTACTGAAAAGATATGACATTCCTCTTCTTACTCTAATATCTCACACCCTCTTGGTGAACGGAAGTATGGCCATCCCTTACTCCCACCCACCTTCTAGGCTGGCAGGAATTCCATCCCAGTCTGTGTGCTCCCATGGAGCCTGGGTACCATGTCCTGCCCTATTTATTTATCTTTTTTTCATTTGTCTTTGTCAGTTTTAAAACTAATACTAAATTCCTTGAATCAAATGAGAATGATAACACAACATAACAAAACCTTTGGGACACAGCAAAAGCAGTAATCAGAGGCCAATTAATAGCAATAACTGCACACATCAAAAAAGAAGAACCAAAATCAACACTTTAAACCAACATCTACAACAATTAGAAAAAGAACAGCAAGTAAAGCTTACAGTCACCAGAAGAAAGGAAATAATAAAGATTCGAGCAGAAATCAATGAAATAGAAAATAGAAGGGCAACAGAAAAAATAAAAAAGACCAGAAGTTGGTTTTTTGAAAAGATAAAAAAATTGACAAACCACTGGCAAATTTAACAAAGGAAAAGGTCAGAAAACAAATAACATGAATAAGAAATGAAATGGGTGACATCACAACAGAAGCAACTGAAATAAAAAGGATAATTTC